GAAGCTTCGCTAGTGCACAGTGCATGCACACATACTAGTAATTTTTTACATAAATATTTGATAAGATTCCTTACAAGTTGCATGTAAGCATTAAAGCTGCTATTAGAAAGAAAAAATTGCTAAAAACTAGAAACTAAAGCTGCTGTTGGAAACCATAAATTTGCATTAGAAATGTGTTCCAGTCAGTCTTGTTTCTTATCTAAATATTTACCAATATAGTCTATGTCTGCCAAAAAAGTACCTTGTATATTGATGTCACAGCTTGCTTATTTTTTTTTTCTAGTGAAACTGAAGAGGTTACTTTGTACCACAAGTACCTTAAGTTTGAATGCCCTGCAGCCTCCTGTAGAATTAAGGTAGGGAGTTGAGCAGCATTGTTTTATTTATCTTTTGTCTTTTTAATCACTTGATCGACTAAATTACATTCCTCTTAGTAAAATTATTTGGTTTATACTTCATCTCTTCACATAATCACTTAAAAATCTATTGGCTGGTACTTTGTCTTGATGGCAGAGTGCAGCTTTTAAACTGGTGTCTCAGTTTTCTTTTCTTGAAGACTTCATATGATACATATAATTTAGTCTTGGAGAAAAAAACATAAACCAGTGATAAACTGCAGATCTGTGATTAGAACTGTCAGCTCTGGGGTTAAATAAGCCTGTGAAAATCGTGTGGCCGCTACTCTTAAATGCTTAGAAAATCTTTATCTTTGGAACAGTGGTGCCTGAGTGCCCCAGTCAGAATTTTATGGGGAATAATAGCAAAGAGAAATTGGCTTAATTTCCCTAGAAGAGTTCAGCATAGTTTTTCCCAAGACTCTAAAAACCAATGCATTGTCCCCTATGCACAAAGAAAACATGAAATGTTTTTTTTCCCTAACCAAATTATTTTTTTTTCCTTCTTGCAATAGCTGCTCTCCTTTGGTGAGAAACACAGAGTACTCATCAGTAAAATAATTCTAGAAGTGAAAGCAGTGTCTGCAAAACTAGCAACTGATTTTCCTTCACTAGGCTCAAGCATAGATCTAGACAGAGTGCAAACTATAATGGAATCCATGGGATCTAAGTTGTCTCCAGGTGCTCAGCAGCTCATGGACATGGTCCGGTGTCAGCAGAATGTAAGTCACTTTTCCACAAGCACAAACTGGCACTTTACCACTTGGGAATGTTCTGAAAAGGTTTGGGGGTTTTTTAATCTGCACTTTCTGCCTTTTTCATCCTGATTTATCTGCTGCCACTCAATTGACTGCAATGAGTAAAGATTGTGTGCTCCAGGATTGTTATTATATGTGCATGGTTATAATTTTAAGCTTCACTGGCACCCTGCTCTCCTTCTGCCTCTTTCCATTGTAGCTGCTGGTCAAGGATGGTGGGCATTTTCCCTGGAAAGTTTGGGGTGTAGATAGCTGGGCTGGTTTGTCTCTAATGGTCGTTATAACCATGTCACCTTCAACTAAAAGGAATATGCTCTCACAGAACATTTACTATAGATCCTAATCCTGCAAAGTGGGCTGTATCAACAGAATTCTGACTCCATCTGATGTTAATAACTTAGTTTTGAGGTCACAGCATGGTAGAAATGAAGTCAGTAGAGCTCTTTTCTTACTTGGACACTGACAAGATAATTAATTCTTCATATTTACAAGGAATGTAGTTCCAAACTACTTTTAAAATCTTTACTAGTAGAATACTGGGTTATAAAGTATCTATTGTTGTTATATAATTTCCAGTATATTTGAATACTCAAATACTCTTTTCTCCCCATCAGAACAGTTTCTCTCTTGGAGACAAACTCAGTTGGATCTTGGGGAAATATTCAGACTTTGGAGGTGACCGTGCAATGGATGGATTGCACAGTGCAGCCCTTCAGTCATCACTGAGTCCATCAGCCAGTGAACCTTTGCCTGTTAAAAATCATTTAACAAGTGAAGCAGTGCATAAAGATTTAAAAATAACTCGTGAACTGAACTCAGAGGTACCTGAAAGAGGGAATACTTTGGATTCTGAAAGACTTCCTACCCAGCAAAATGCAGTTGACCTCAGGAATGATTTGAAAGTCATGGGATCTTTGCAAGTGAAGCAACAAGGAGGTGACACTCCAAACGTGGCCAACCCACAGGTGCTTCTTCCTTTTCTTCAAAACTTGTGCACTCAGGTGAATCACCTTCGGCTCAAGGATGGAGAGAGGCACCTCAGGAAGAGTGCAGTGGCTAAAGAGGAAGGTGTTCAGAGTGCTGGGTGAGTTAAGTTTGGTCAATCTCTCCAAGAGGTATTGGCTATTTCTTGACAATTTTAAGCAAAATGCATAATGTAAGAACTTTCTTCTCATTAGCAGCAGTAGTTAATCTTAGAATTCATGGTTTTGAAAGCTGTGTGATGATGAGTGTTACAGTTTTTCAGATGAGCTGCTTGAATGTAGGTGTTTTTCAGAAGAAATCACATCATTTGTTGTTACTAAACTATTTTGTCTTCTACCTCCATTTAATCTAATTTTCAAAGGATGTTTCTTCATACACACATAACGTGTCTTTCTCATCTACTATATTTTCATTTTAAATACTTTTACCCCTAAATTCTTACATCTTCCTTTGTTCACACAGTGTGCCTCAGTCTTCCTGCTGTACTTGGTGTGTATCATCCCACTGATCTTCCTGTTCCTCCTCACTTGTTGGCATTTACAGTGCAGGTGTCACAGTTACCCAGTTTAGTACCTCAAGAACAATAGTGGAAATCGTGAAATGTGGAAATATTGTGTAGGAATCAAGATTTAATGGAGACTGAATATCTCAGCTCCAGTATTTTTAAAGAATGCAGATGCAAACCCAGAGAGTTGCATAGTTTGGATAACTCTTGAAGCACTTTTGCTGACAAGGACAGTCTGCCATGCTGACAGAATACAAACTGTATATTGTTGACTTGTATGGATTTTTTTTTAATGTACTTAAGGTCTCTAATGCATAATTAATTGAGCCTTTGGAAAAACAAGGTTGAAATAAGATGACTATATGCAATAGCGTGTTTATAAAAAAACATTGAGGTTTAAAGTGTGGCAGGTAGGGTATTTTACTTGTGCTAAAAACCTAATGCCTGACAAAGTTCATTGCCTAATAAATGAAATTTTACATTTAAAAGATGTTCAGGTGCCCAGATTTCTATTTTGCCCCTTGTCATTAAGAAGTAGGTTATACTTATTCTTATATTTGCTCTTCTTACAGAGTGGAACAACAGCCTATTTGCTCCTATTTGGAAAAGATAATTTCAAAAAATCTGGATCTGATGGAGAAGAAACTGATGGACTATATTGACTGCCAAATCCAGGCTCTTCAGACACACATAGACAATAAAATGTTTCTCTTGATGGACTTGGTTCAGAACTCAAAACCAAACAAAATTTCCCAAGCACACTATGATTCTAACGAGGGGTTTTCTAATGGAGAGAGATAGAGATTCAGAGGTAGGGTTTCAATGTGAATACATTGAGTAATTACACTTTACAAAGCTTAGTATTTATGCAGTTAAAACTATAATGAACCTCAGTGTTAACTTGCATTTTGTTACTGTAATTCTATATCCACCGTTGTACACACTTGTTAGTTTTATGAAAGATCTTAAGAGTATGTGTTTTTTCCTGAAAGAGAGTTTTGTATGCCCTTTGTGGCTTATTTATTTAAAGAGCATTGCTAGAATCTGTATGACCAGTCCCCCAGTTCCAGTTTGAACAATGGAGTACTCTAAATAAACTGAGTTACTGCTTATCTTTTTAACTACATGTAATCAGTTCAATTTTTTTGGTTGTATTAATTTTTGATGTGAAATGTGTTCTCAGTAGAACAGAATGTAGTTTGTTTGTGGTTTTGTTTTTTTGGCAGTCCTGTTGAAGACATTTATTGTTCCACCTCTGAAAGGAAGGTTGGATTGTCATTGCCTAATTTGGGCAGTTTGTGGAGCTGTCTTTAGAGAGCTAGGGAAGTGTGAACCCAGCCTGTGTTCTTTGGAAGCCTTGTTGGCTGTACAGGCACCTAAATTAGGAATCCAGGCTCCTTAGGACATACCTACAAGACTGTGATACTTTTTTCCCTTCTAAACTACCTGAGTGTGCAGGAACAAGTGAAATGAATGTGTGCTCAGCAGACTTTATCCAGGTTTCATTATCCTAAGAAGTGCAAGTACTTCATCCATGGTTCCTCTCAAGTGGATGTTGTTCCCAGACAGGATGTGCTGGGGTAACTCCAGAAGACCAGAGGAGTTTTCCTTACTGCATCACACTTCCTTTAACCCGTTGGGATTGGTTTTGCTGTCATTTGGGGAGGTAAGAGTGTGACTCCAAATCCCTCTTCTGTGGAAGGTTGAGTTTCAAACTTCATTCTGTTTGTTGCTCTTGGATTCTGGGGTGCACCATTTAAATTGGAGGTGTGGGGACTTTATGCTAAACCCCTCAGTATGTGCACAAACATTTTTGGCAAAAGCTGTTGATGGGGAAGCAAGTGTTGACTCAAAAGCAGCTAAGCATGTACAAGCCAGTATCTTTATTTTCTCTGCCTGATATTTTCTTCTCCAGGAAAACTGATGTTTTTTGAAGACTGTCAGATCCTGATTGTATAAACCCACAGAAGTAGATTTGGAAGAGAGGATAATGTACTTTGAAAAGACATCTTGCAGTTGTCCCTGATCTTAACTCCTGCCTGGTGCAGTTTCAAAGTAATTCAAAAAGATACGTTTGTGGTTTTTTTTAAGACAAAAGGACCTTAATTATCTTGTACTTCATGCCTGTAAAGGTATAAAGTGTATCCTGAGGTAGACACACTCTTTTTCAACTCAGTGACTTGAGATGGTGTACTAAGTTTAGAGGTTTTTGGGTTTGGATTTTTTATTTGATAGCAAAAGAAGCTGAAATGGATTTCTAAGTGTTGTTGAGTTCCAATGCTGTTAATGTAATTTTTTTTTATTTTTTCCCTTTTCCCTCTGGTTGACAAATATGAATAGCAGTTGACACTAAACAGAAATCTCCAGTAGTTAAAATGGGCTCTGGACATTTTGATAGCTGTATCCTACCTGATGTTTGTGATGTCTTAGTGTCACAGCTACCACAATGAGAATGTTTGAAATTAAAACCACAAATGCCAGAGTGTAGAAGTTGTATTGTTGCAGGTTTGGTGTTTTTTCAGCTTCCACTTCAGTGAGGGATTCTGTGTAGAGAGAAAAATAAAGTGTTTAAAGTTTAGAATACTATATGATTTAACTGGGAATTAAATAAGCATTTTTTGAGTTATTTTCATTTGACATGACCCACACAGAGTGCAAATCCTGAATATGTAGTGCTGAAGAGTTGTAAAAATTGGTAATAAAACAATCCTGCAGAACATCATGATGTTCAATTCTTTGGTATTGCTGCAGCCAAGTTTTTGTCAAGCAGTGCTGTGACCATGAGAGAGATTTGAGACATTTGCTGAAGCAAGGCTGGGCAAAAAAAAAAGCTACTTGTGGTTCATGTGGTTTCCTATCTGCTCCTCGGTAAAACTCATTTTTTAAATTATACCTGATGTGATCTATTTGCACTTGAACCCTTTTCACATTAATATGGATGCAAAGTCTTTCACTATTGAAATAAATGAGAACATATCTGAAATGTTGCTAGAGTTCAGAAAGGTTAATTTAAAAAACCATTCTAATTACTATTAAGAGCAAGATTAATTCTAAATATTTCCTAGATCTGATAGCTGAAAGCAAGTGGCCCAATGTGCTTTTCTCAGGTGAAGCTTTGGGCTCCATTAAAGTGAGAACGATGAGCACAGTGGGAGTAGCAATACAAGCTTTTAAAAATAGCTTTTTGCATATTTTGTAGTTTCTATTTGCTCTCAGCACCTGACCACTGTAGATCAGACTGCAAATGGCACCTAAGCTTGGTTGTCTTACAAACACCTCTGCAGCTCTAATTTAAAGGCATGGTGCTTTTGGTTTCTGCTCTCAAGACTTCTTTTTATTCCTGTTCTGGCCAGTGCATGAAATGGGAGGATTAACCTTGCCTGAAATAAGTCAGCTGTCTTTATTATCTGCAGCACCAACAATAAACCTGAGTGAGGTGCACACATACGAATATTTTTATTTTTTTCCTTCTTACCCGAGTGCTCAGCAGTCCTGAGATCTCTTTTCAGGCGGATGGGCCCCACTACAGTGTTGGTTTTCCATGTGTATGGGGAGATGGCTCTTTTCTGCCTGGAGATGCAGCCCCTGGCACAGCGAGAGTTGGTGGTGTTGCTGTCGCAGATCACAATGTCACAATGGAGATAAACTGATGGGAAGCTCCGCAGGAACCTGAAGGCCCTAAATTTGAATCTTCCATGGTTTCCAAATGCTGGGTAGGTTACCACAGTGTCATCTTTATTGCAGCTGCAAAAGAATGTACAAATGTGTTAAAACAGTCCACCTAGAATAATCACTCTTGCTAAATCCTGTGAACTGTAACTACAGTATTTAACCACTGTTAAATATTTTTACAAGTGGGCATACAATGATTGCTTTTTTTTCTTTGCCCAGTATAATTTGGTGCATATTTTTCCTAGCTCTGTTAGTGGAAGATCTTTAAATTTTTCTGCAACTCACTTCCAATCACAGCCTACTAAAGAAGGTACGTGGAAGAGACAAAATGGAAGTGCAGTTGACATTTGGATTCCATTTCCTCACACCTTAGGAGACTGTAATAAAATCAGCCTTACCCACTCCTGATCAAGTCGTATGTCAGTGATCCAAAATCAGGCTGTGGAGATGCTGTGCAGGTATCAATGAACACCTGGAGATTTGGGTCAGTGGAATGAAGAGTCACTTCAGTAAAGAGAGTTTGGTTCAAGTCTACGTAGTATGGGGAGTATTGTATGGGCTTGGAGAACAAATCTGACTCGTAGAAGGCCATGCTGACATTGTACCTCCCCCCAGCAGTCAGGTTCTGGATGGCATTGTTTGTTGTGGTGTAAATGACTTCCAGGGTTTCATTGTTCTTCATTCTGCATTGTGCAATGATCTCAGTGTTCCTCTGGCGGGTGATGATGGCGTTGCCAGCTGGAGCCAGGGAGATGGTGTTGGTGTAAGTGATGCTGTGGCCTTCATCCTGGGAAAGGAACCGTGGGAAGGGCTCAGCTGGGATTGCACAGCAGAGCAGTTGAAAGGAATTGTAACTAAAATTACAAACCTGTGTTTATCAGAGGCTCAAGATACCTTGGAAATGCGAAACAGGCTGCAACCAAAAAATCTTATCAGCCCTCGCCTGGTTTTTTCCAAACACTGAACCAATCCAGGAAGCAAAAAGGTTGAAGATTAGAGCATGGAGTGTGGGAAGTACCAAAGCTATTCTCTAACCACCCTTATCAAAACAGTGCTATGAACTAGACCCTGGGAATCTTTTGGGGCTAAATTTGTGTGGATTCTCCCATATTTCTTTTGAAAGGTTCCCTGATCATCAGATTCTTAAAGAGGAAAAAATGTTCTTTGTACTTCAAGGAAACATGGAATGGGATGAGCTAAGTGAAAATAAAATCAGTTTACTTACATGCTATTCATACACTGCTTTTATCAGCACTTATCTTTCCTATGCTCTTGTTAGCTTATTCATATTTTTATCCCCTTTACCTTTTTAATTGTTCCACAGCTGGCCAATGGGAAGGAGAAGATCACTGAATCTGTTACAACTGGTCTGCAGGATGGATCATTCAGCTGCAGGTCAGCTTCCCTAAAGCCAAGGGAGGCCAGGTAAGACTTGCTCAGAACAATTCTCATGCTGTCTGAAAAGCAGGTAAGGGTTGCTGCCATTGAAAAAGAGCAAAACAAAACCAAAAACACATTAGGACAAACTGCAGTGGTCATTTCTCACTTTGTCTAAATCCTTGAACCTGTCACATGATTCTGGATTTGCCAGTGAAAACGCTCATGACCACTTGAGGTCATGCAGAAGTTGCACCAAAATTTTGTGCTTAACTTCAGAAGTAGAGCAAAACCCCATAAAATCCATGCTGAAAGTTTAATTTAAAATCCAGTAACACAGAATGGTCCTCTGCCTTTTTAAAAGGGAAAGGGAATCAAAGTGCTGTTGCAGAATGGTGGGTAAGGAAATTGATTTATCTCAGATATTGAGGCTTTAGAAACTCCTTTCTAGCTCAGTTAATGGGAAGATGGGCATGCAAGGATATAGGAACAAAAGGACAATAAGGTCCAGCTTAGGGGGAAAGGAAATTGCAACCCACATAAACTCTGACCAGTGCAGACCAGGGAAATTCCTGAGTACCTTAGGCAACAAAGCCATTTAAACAAACCAGACAATAAGAGTTTATCTTTGCATCTTAGCATGATAACAATGCCTGCTTTGTACAAAAAAGGGAAAACCTCAGATTTTAAATGGTGCCAGCCAGAAAAAAAGACCCAATAGTGAAAGAACTGTTTTTCTTTTGGAGATGGGTCAGGAAGTAACTTCTGCTCTATAGGTGAGATAATGTGGGATTTTTGTGTATAAAGAGGGTTGAAAGGCTACCAGTTAAAAGGCTTAACTCCTCAGTAGCAACCATCAGATCTTTTGGATATTTGTAAGAGAAGAATCATGTAATAAAAAGAATCAGCATTCTCTCCATGTAGCAAGTGCACTCACCGTTGGGCTCTGTGGGACCTGGCAGGGAAACACTGGAATACTGAGCTGAAAATCCTCTGTAGGAGTTGGTGTCGTCTGTGGACAGCACAACTGTCATCGCGTTTGAAGAAGACTCAAATGTGGGCCGGGCAAGGCCACAAGCTTTCCCCAGTAATCCAGATTTTGTGGTGGAGCCATCATAGACTGCTGTGAAGTCAAGTTGGCAATTTCTGTCCAATTCCAGGCTGCAGACACAGAAAAAATCGTTACAGGGAAATCTGTGTGCAGACAGCTTTGGTTGTACTGGATAGAGGATCCAGTGCAGGTAAAGTGTCTGAGAGTTCAACTGAAGTAAAAGAATGGAGAACAGAACACCACAAATAGACATTATTAAAACCTTATTTTAAAAAAAAAGATGTTATTAAAAAAATTGGAAAATAATTTTTTAAGTATAAAGTTGGCTTCTGTGGGCCTCTGGAACCTCTTGTGTGTATCACAGATGAAGATTCTTGCAATTTTTCACCAGTGGGAGGTGGATTCTCCCAGAAGAGCATTGGCAGATGGACCCTGGCCAGGAATGCTCAGAGCACGTTCCACCCTGTGCAGAATTTATCATCTCAGAGGGCAGTGGTCGGGGTGATGATTTCCTGTGGAACCCTTTACATTTCATACTGAATTCTTGCAGGGCATTCTGCAGTCTGAATGTCTCAAGAAATGGACCTACACCTCATGGTTGGTCACCTGAGGTGTTTTCTGCATTTCCCTGACTGGCCCTGTAGCAGCTTTAGGGTAATGTCCAGGCATGTGAAATACTTTGCAATCATTTTATCATAACAAAACCTTTTATTTTAAAAGTGTACAAATGTTCTAAAAGTTAAAAAGCGCTTCTTCCTGTGTTTGACAAAGTAATGCCTTTAAACAGAATGAATAAAGAGCATTAGGGAATTTACTCACAAAAAATCCTGGAACTGTAAGTTTATCTTCGAGTTTTTTGGTGCTTGTATGTGCCAGACACAGTATCTGAACTGAGGGTAAGGTGCTGGGTAGTTGGGGCTGCTGAATGTCCCATTGGGACCAGTTAATTGTCCCCCACAATTTTCATTTTCTGGAAAGGAGATATATTGGTAACAGAATAAGTCATATAATGAGTCATATATTAAAAAAAAAAAACAACAAACCGAAAAAACCCCAACAAATCGTTATGTAACTACCGGGATTGATTATTTAGGACTCCAGTCCTTTGGAAATTATTAAAGGTACTAAAGATGGAAATTCTATAGGGAATTTGAGGTCAGGTGGAATTACAAAATGGAGCCAGTGGTCACTATTGCTGTGAGGCTCAGTGTGATGACACCTGAGCTGCCTGTAGATGAGTTCACTTTGCTACTGGGAGCAACTTAGTGAGAGCTATATTTTGGTTAAATTTGGTGCCCTCTCAAAATGAAAATGAAGATGCTACACCAACCATACCTGGTCTGTATGGAAGTGCAAAATCTGCAAGTATGAGAGTGATTTTACTTGATAGGCAAAGGCAAAATAAAATCAAACCAGTGGAACTTCAGACAGATGTAGACTAGAAACAGGACAAAACTTTTCAGCAGCAAAATTAGACTGGAGCAGCATGAACTGAGATTTGGTAACTACTCTGTAAAGTTGTACTTTGAAAGAGCTTGATACCATGCCACCAGGTCAGCAGAAGCAAAGGGTCTGGTCACAAGCTAAGATTGATTTTGTCTGAGCTATTCTTATCTTTTAAAAGAAAAAAAGTAAGGAGCTTCTTGAATTAATACCCTTACTGATTTCTGTGATCTGTACTTGACAGGAGTTCTGACTAGATGGTCAAATTCTCCTGGGTAAATGCTGTAATATATTTGCAAGCTGAGTACATTTCATAGAAGTATGGAAGTAAAAGTCCCATAATACCTCCTTTGCCATCACTTTTCTAAGTAAAATTTAACTTTTTAAGATCTCTGTAAATGCATTGTTTGTGCCCCTTTCACTGATTTTTGCCCCATTCCATTCTCTGAAGCCTGAAGACCTGAGTGAGATTAATTAAAGTTACTTTTATTATATTTCATTGCTGTAGTTCAAATGTTATTTAATGACTTACTTGACCCTGGTGAAAAGAAGTAGTAGTAGACAAAGAAGTTTCGTGTGAAAGCCTCAGCGTTGGTAGTTATGAGAAAAGTTGAACTGTTTGAGGATGATTCAAGCACTGGGACTGCATCTGTGTCATCACACACTTGTCCAAGGAGAGGTGAATCAGTGGAGGGACCATCAAACACTTTAATGCTTTCTGATTCACAGCTTGAAGAAGGAGCAAATCTATTGGAAAAAACGTAGTGAGAATCACCTGATAAATGTGCACATGGGTTGGGACAGTCCCACAAATACAAGCTGGGTGAAGAATGGGTTGGGGAGCAGCCCTGAGGACATGGATTTGGGGATGGTGGTGGTTGAGAAACTCAGCATGACCCAAAAGTGTGCATGTGCAACTCTGAAAATGAATGAGTGTGGGCTGCCTCAAAAGAAGATTGAGGGAGGTGATTCTTCCCCTCTGCTCTCATGGGACCCCACCTGGAATGCTGCATCCAGCTCTGGCACCCCAACACAGGAAGGGTGTGCTGGAGTGAGTCCAGAGCAGCCATGGAGATGGTCCCAGGGCTGGAGCCCCTCTGCTCTGGGACAGGCTGGCAGAGCTGGGGGTGCTCACCTGGACAAGGCTCCAGGGAGAGCTCAGAGCCCCTGCCAGAGCCTAAAGGGGCTCCAGGAGAGCTGGAGAGGGACTGGGGACAAGGGGGATGGCTTAACAGTGCCAGAAGGCAGGAATAGATGGGGTTTGGGGAAGGAATTCTTTTCTGTGAGGCTGCCCAGAGCAGCTGTGGCTGCCCCTGGATCCCTGGAAATGTCCGAGGCCAGGTTGGACACTGGGGCTTGGAGCAGCCTGGGATAGTGGAATGGGTTTTAACTCACATCCGACCCAAACCATTCTGGGATTCACTGGAGTGCACAACACAGATTCAATAGAGAGAGACAATGCATTTCTGTGCTATATTCTAGTGAAATGAAACAGTACAAAAGCATACAAAAGTAGGAAATACTTACTTGAAATGGGAGAAAATGAGCCTAATTGTTTGATTTACATTCCTATGGATTTGCCAGATGCAGTTTGCATTTGCCTTTAGTTCAATCCTTAATGCTTTGTTGGGCTCATGAAGTGAAGTCCCACAGCGAGGCACCCCTGTTGAACAACAGCAACCACAAAAAGAGCTTGCAAGGGTAAGTTTTCTCTTGCAGTAAATGTTTCATCCCCCATTATGCAATGACTGGCAGAGTCCATGAAACAGATATGAAAAATGCACTAATTGTAAAAACCTTATTTATATGCCTTCAGTTTATGAAATCTGATTAATCAGATGGTAAAAGAATATTTAAAAACATGGTTTATCCTGGTTTTCCTAGTAGCAGAGAAAAGGATCATGCCAATAGCAAAACTGGAAATGCCAAGTGATGAAGAACATGTCAGCAACCCTCTTCAGCAAGATTTGTCAGCACAAGTAATTCAAGCCTTGGGACTTGTGAGTTCTCTTATGAAAATAACCCACAACTTAACTATGTCTGACATCACTGATGCAACTTAATAAGTTGTGAAGTAGTTGAAGTCATGGCCATTGGATAGGAAACTTTAGAGAAAGTTTATAATCCACTCTGAGCATAAGATCTCATTTCTACTTTAATGTTAATGTAAAAATAGTGGTCTAAAGCAGTCAGAACAATTTTCTGTAGAGTGCATGCAGACCCAGAAAATAAGTTCAGGCTTTCTGATGGACTCCAGAGGGAATTGAAAGGTTTAGGAGAGATTTTTACCATCACAAATGAAACCTCCTCACTGTAAGAGCATTACAGGTCAGTCCTACCCTCCTGCACTCTGGGGGAGGTTCTGTGGTCAGACACCACTGGAGCAGCTCAGGATATTTCATTATCCTACCATACCTACCCTCCTTTAATCAGCTACATGGCTGATCTGAGCACAGAATGGTGAACCCAGACTGAGCAACAAACAGCTCTTTATTGCTTCTGATTGAACAAAGGAAAAATGAGCAAACCTCTTTCAAAAAGCAAACATTTCCCAATTAGTCTCCTGATTGCTCTTATTCCAATCTAGTATTAATTTGTAAAAGCAAATTTATATTCCAGAGTAAAACTGCTTCAAAATCAAGTACTTAAACTAAAATAGCTGCCATAGGGTGGAATGTATAGAATTATTTTTTATTATTTTTCATTTTAAATGCTTGCAGTCACATTTAGGTGTCACTATCATGCCATTGGCACATTAAAATAAGATTTTAGAGGTGTTTAACATTTTGCCCTTCAGTTGCCTATATAAGACCTATTGTACAGAAATCAGTATCACAGATAAACAGATTTCCATACCTGCGAATTCTATTGAGTTGCCTTCACTGAGAGCCAGAGCAGAAAAGAGAGGCAGAAGGAGGAACTGCTTGAGCAGCTGCATTTTGAGGGCAGCTGGAGAAGGCAGGCTTTGGCTTTTCTGACTTTTATACCTCGTGCTATTTCACAATCCTGTGGTACAAGGTATCCTGGAGGGAGGGCTTAATCTGTCAGTCACTGTTCCTTTTTAACAGATATAAATGAGAAAGTAACAGGTGGGCCCATTTCTTAAACAGGCACTGTGTGGAGTAAGTTTAAAGTGCTTTTGTCAGCTCTCATGTTTCAAAGCACATTTTTCAGTAGATTTCATTGAGAGTGTGTTTAGGGGTGTTGACATGAGCAGGAATGTTGTGGAAGGGGTTGACAGACTCCCTTGGGAGACACATTTGCAGTTTTCTCCTAGCACTGCTCAGCAGGAGCTTGGTTTCTCCCACCTTCATTTAGACATCTGTCTCTTTAGGTTACACTGGGCAAATCATTCCCTGTCCTTGCTGAGGAGTCCTCAGGTTGTTAAGTGCAACTATTGTAAAAGAATTTTCATTAATATATTGCTGAAACACCCAGGGATGAGCAAGGGCAGGTTCATCTTTGTCACAGATTAAAAGAAGAAGTTTGCACTGCAGCCACTTTGCAGACAGAATTTCTTAGCCCCACACTGTGAGCTACAGAAGAAAAAAGGAATCAGCCTTTCCTTCCTGAGGCAAGGAAACAAGCACAGCCCTGAAAGCCTGAATTCCTTTTAGCACAACTTAAACAAAATACCTGTTCCAATATATTCACCCTGTTTTGTCTCATAAGGACCAAAGCTCTGAACTCCAGGGTATTTCTCAGTGCAGCAGTGAGTGCTCAGTCTTTAAAGCTCCTGAGGTTGTGCCAGTGCTCCAGGTGTGCTGTTACCTGGCCTTGGCTCATGGTTTGACCTGTGGGGTGTGGGAGCAGCCAGGGCTCCCTCAGGAGCTGCCTGTGCTTTGTTCCAATACAGGCAGCACAAACCCCACAGCTGTGCAAACAGGGCTTCCTCCAACTTTTCTAGAAAAGTCAAGACCTTCTTGAAACACAGCCAGGTGCTTTTCTTTCATAGTATTGTTTTTTGGGTTTTTTTGGCAAAACCATTGTCTTTTATAAGCAAACTGATATATAATGCATATGATACTGTATTTCTAATATCAGACCTATGCTTTCTTTAAAACATCTCTCTCTCTGATTTTTAACTCCCTTTAAGGATTTTGAATGCAACAGTCTCTTCATCCTGAAATGTACTTGCACTGCCTTTGAGTGTGAAGGCATTGAATACATGTTCAAAGATGTTGCAGAGTATTTGAATTCCCTTTGGCTTCTGGAAATGCTAAATTTGCATTTACTGTGTAGCGTTCTATTTCTTAAACAACCCACACGTACTTGGAAGGAATTTTCAGATGTTAACATCCCTTTTGTGACTGGGTGTGAATCTGCAGTGAATGTGTGAGCTGCCAGTCAGTGCTGTGTCCATCAGAACCAAATGCCCTTTAAATCACTACCTGTGAGAAGCAGAGCACAGGGTTATGAGTGTGGTGGGGAGAGTTTTGTATGAACTGAGCACAACAAGAACTGAAGGAACATTGAGAGGGAAACAAAGTCTCGATGAGAAAAAACAGGCAGTTGATCCAATTATTTTTTGTCACTGAGAGTATTTACTGAAGTTTAGGCTTTTACAGATCCACTGTATAGACCCAAAAGATCTGAAATTAAAGAACCCAAGCTCAGTTGAGATTAAATACCTTTAGATTTACACCCGCTACAGTATATTTTTAGAAATCAGCAGCAGATCTTGGGACACAATGAACAGGTCTAGAGGTGGTCAACATAATGCCATGGTCAGAAGGTTCATTGCTGGGGGACAACGACAACAACAATGCCATCGTTTGTGCTTCTCTTGGCTCTTCTAGAGCCTGGGAAGCGAGGGCCTCTGTTCCCTGGGAAAGGTCGGGGAGGAAAAGGGAGCCTATTCCCTGGGAAAGGTCGGGGAGGAAAAGGGAGCCTGTTCCCTGGAAAGGGTCGAAGAGGAAAAGGGAGCCTGTTCCCTGGGAAGGGTCGAAGAGGAAAAGGGAGCCTGTTCCCTGGGAAGGGTCGAAGAGGAAAAGGGAGCCTGTTCCCTGGGAAGGGTCGGGGAGGAAAAGGGAGCCTGTTCCCTGGGAAGGGTCGGGGAGGAAAAGGGAGCCTGTTCCCTGGGAAGGGTCGGGGAGGAGGAGGAGGAGGAGCATTGCACCCTGACACTTTGCACCGCAGGCAAACTCCGGGCTGTACGGGAGCTCTGTAACGGAACTGGACAAGCCTCTGGCCTGATGAAAGGTGATTCCCACACGTTGGGTCCTTTACACACCTGAAAAAGGGAAAAAAACCCAACCCCACCATAAATTGTCATGTAATGATGGTGACATGCTCACTAAGCCCGTTTGTTTCCTCAGTTGTAAGAAACTTCCAAAAATGTCCAGCTGTGATGTTAATCTCAGCTCACAGCACAGAACTCCTGAACACAGATGCCACTACATGGAATTTGGTTGTCTGTTGGTGTAATGGGCATCACAACACATACAAATATCACACATGTAAAGTACCTAGTGGAATTTTGGTAATATGTACTAAATCATATTTTAAACTGTAGAGTGAGGAGGTAGTGGAATTTTCCTGCACACTCTGCTATGGTTCATGCTTAATTAAAACAAGCTAAAGGATAGTCCAGCCCTGGAAGGAAGGATTTTGCATTTTGAAAGCTTAGAGCTGTCCATGAAGGATTCCCCTGGACAGCCAAGACAACATCAGCATCCCAGCCCCTCTGACATGTCCTAGAAACCCTGCCAGCATCATCTGGTGCCATAAACCAGTGACTCCAGCAAGAATGGCTCCAGGAACATCTGGATCAACAGACATGCACTGAGAACGCTGCAGAAATAGTGGTATTTTGCAAAATTTTAGAGTGATTAGTATTGGTAGTATGGGTATGACTGAATAGTCAAATCAAGTTGTACCTGAGCATTTGAGGGGTGTAAGAAAATGGTGTGAAATCATTTTTGGCGTATCCCAGCTTGGCTGGGGCATCTCACATGCATGAATAAATATTTACCCTTCCACTGTTATTTTTGGCATCCCAGGTCTCCTTGGCTGGCACACGCTATTTAGGTATATCAGCAACAGCTGCTTCACGTAGTTGGGCAGTGGAATAAAGATTGCTGCAGAGGAAGGAATTGAATGTTGATAAACTCGAGATAAACACAGAGCAAAATGCAGCCATATTAAATACTGGCCTGCTTTGCAAATTTAAATGCAGGCCTGGAATAGCAGCTGAGTGGAGAGGAAATTAATTTCTCTCTCTGATGATAGTCCATTAAAAGCTCATTTCTTCCTCCTACAACTAGCAACTAACCCCAGGGTTACTCCTTGGTGTTGTTCTCTCCTGGAAGAGGGTGAATTTGCCAGGATCATGAGATGTCTCTGCCCGTGAGACAGGGCACTGGGTGGGCAGCAGCTGGCAGGCTATGGGAGGACATTTCAAATGTCTTTTGACCATAAATGATGCAGCTCATCCCCTTGGCACTCACCACTGAGGATGGTTCTGCTGCCAGTCCTGTGTTAGCAGTGTGTGATCCCTGGCTGAGCCATGACATTCCCAATCTCTCTGCCTGCATCCAGCCTCTCCCACTTCCCCTGGCAGATCCCCTCTGCCAATGAACTGCCAGCCCTTCCCAGCTCACACCTCTTATCCAGAGTATCCTGCCCTTAGGAAGAAAAGTCATTGAAAAGAGGAAAGAATCAAATACCTTACCTGAGCCTGTAGTTGCTGCATTTGTCTCTGGCTGGGCTTTAAATGCCAAAAAAAAAAAAAAAAAAAAAAAAAAAAAAAAAAAAAAAAAAAAAAAAAAAAAAAAAAAAGTTAAAAAGTCAGCTGATTGACTAAAATATGTGCTTTTATGCCATCAGATAATAAACATTATAATGAGCAGAACACATTAGGACCAGGAAATATTATTAGCAACAGTTATGAGGAATAGAATTGTCATGGACAAAGGTTTCATACTAAGGAAAGTGTGGGGGTTTGAGTACTACAAATGACATATTACTGGCATTAATGGGAACAAGATTTAATTCTGTTTATCCCTCTGTATGGGGACATAATCCCATGCTCAAATGTCTGCTTTTCACCTGAAGTTCACTTTCTTGCATGCTTTACCAAAGCAGCCAAATGCCTTTTATCAAAGTGTAGCTGATATGGCCAGACTCTAAGGGAATCCCTAAGTCTGCTCTACTAGAAACTGAGGCAGAACGTTATAAATTGTGAGCAGAATTTGCTATTCCATTTTTTCAAAAGATAAAGCCCGCTGTGGAAAGCTAAGGTTCAAAGCAAATACCACTGAATATGTCAAAAGGATCCCCAGTGACTCAACTTCCATGAGGATGAGACTTTGAAAGTGCAGGGGGGATGACTTTATAGGAGTGAGGTGGTCTAGAGGAAATCCAGTTTATACTGGTGTAGTGTATCTGCTCCAGTGAATTCCAATTACTAAGAACTTTCAGCAGAGCAGGTATTCCTCCCATATCAATACCAAAAATTCAGATACCTCGATTTGTATGGAAGCCAAAAAATTATCCCCAAAGTTCAATATTAATTTCATGAGGTGATGCATGCAGTGGAGACAGGGAGCCTTAGCAGCACATCATCAGATCCCAGCTTTGGTAGAGAATTAAGGGTATAAACCAGGGTAAATCTGCATCACTTACTAGTGGCAATGGCTGTTGTTTCAGGAGTTGGAGGGACTGATGGAGCAGGTGAGCTTGTCACTGTGAGAAGAGAAAATATGAAGTTAAACAATGTCCATGTTCCAAATGCATGGATGACTCACATGAAATATAGTACACTGTTCACCACAGCTGAAGAAATTACCAGAAATAAATACCTGGGCTTTCAGCTCTTGTGGGTTCAGTTGTGACTGTCAAAGAAAAAACAAAACCACACTTCAGGATCTGTTCCATTATTGCGTGAGCAAAGCCAGGGCTGCCAAGGGACAGTGGAGCAGGATTTTACTCAAGTTGATGCTTTATCCCGAAATTCTGACCATTATACTAAAGTTTTCCATACCTGCTCCTCCAGGTGTTGTGTCTTCTGCAGGGGCTGATCAGAGACACAAGAGAAAGCAAAACTGTTTTAAACAGGTTAAAAAATGTTTTCCCAGATACCCAAACCTCAGAGAACTTGCAGGTCTCATGGTGCTGCTGCCCAGGGTGAAGTTCCAGAGTGGGAGCAGCCTCAATGGGAGGGAAACACATCCCTGTGCTGCCTCTGCAGGGCTCTGGCCATGGGGCAGCTCTGGGGACCTGGGGGTGTTTGCTGAACACCAGTTTGGGGCTGCTGGGATGAAGTTTCTATCGCCCAGTGCCTGCACAGTGCTGTGTGCTGGGGGGCTCTGGACCTGTCCAAACACATCCCAGGCTGTGCAGTGATTGGGATGCAGCTCTGGGGAGTGCAGGAATGCTGATTTTCTGGGAATGGGAGGATCAAATACAAATCTGAGTTTATATTGCTGTCGTGTGTCTGCCCCTTCCCGAGTGCTTTCATCAGGGCCAGTGTTTGTCCTTTCCCTCCTGCTCCTTTATTGTGTCTGGAAGCCACAGGAAGGCCAGTTGGGATTATCTCTAATTCTAATCCCTGAGATTTTATTATTATGGAGACAGAGAGGCAGTCAATACATGCTCAGAGCATGGTAGACAATTAAACATGTAAGCCAGAACAACACTGTATTACTTACCAGTGGTAGTGTCTGCTGGTGCAGCAGTGGATGCTGCTGCTGTGAGAAAGAAAATATTAATTTAAATATTGTCTGCATGTTAAATGTATATTTTCCTCCCTGACACCCATAGCATGTAGGCCATGGTACTCTTTATTACTTACCAGGTGTAATGTCTGCTGCTGCAGGGCTAGGAGTGACTGTTGCTGTGAAAAAGAAAATATTAAATTAAATGTTAAGTATATACTTTTGCTCTGAAACTTGTAGCATGTAAACCACAGTAACACTGTATTACTTACCAATGGTTACATCTGAAGGTTCAGCAGTAGGAGAGAGTGTTGCTGTGAGAAAGAAAAGGTGACATTAAATTTTACCTGCGTGTTAAATGTATATTTTTTCCCCCAAGACTGATAGCATGTATGCCACAATAATGCTGTTTGACTTACAAGTGGTTACATCTGCAGGTTCAGCAGTAGGAGAGAGTGTTGCTGTGAGAGAGAGAAGGTGAAATTAAATATTGTGTGCATGTTAAATATATATTTTTTCCACCAACACCCATAGCATTTAAACCAGAGTAATGCTATATTACTTAATACAAAACGAAAAGGTGAAATTAAATATTGTTCTGCATTTTGACCATATACTTTTCCTCTGAGACCTACAGCATTTCCTGTTTATAGGAAATCAGGGCTGAGATATAACCGTGATAGAGCCTAATTTTTCTGGGCTACCTTGCTAATTTAAGGGATATGGCTTGGGTTTGTTTTCCCCATCCTTTAAATCCTGCCTGGTCCAGCCTCTCTCGCCATCCTCACTGCACTGCAGAGGGTTGGCACAGCACCATTTCCCCACAACAGTGGCAGAGCTGTTTCCTCAGCCCAGGCTCATTTCTGAGAGCTGGCTGCTTACAGAACACTCCTCACATTTATCTCCTTTTCACAGGCAAAGCCTTTCAGAGATCTGAAGTCCCAAATTCGTTCTGTGGGCCTGGGGTGTATTTTTCTTTCAGAGAGAGAAATCAGAGATGCTGCCAACAACATAATTCGGGTCTGTCCTGGTTTGTGGCCATCTCAAACTGCACCATGTGCTCACACCTGTCCCACCCCCTGAGAGTCACGGGGTTTTCATTTTGGGATCTTTTGCTGTCACCTGGCAGCTGTTTGTGACCAACTAAGGCACATCCATCCCAGATGAGGGCTGTGTTTCCTGGGACTCTTTGTCCTTAATTCCTTTTTGCTGGCCATGATCAAAGCTCCTTCCACCCCAGCACCATGCCAGGAGCTGGCTGGGAAGAGCTGTCAGCAGGAATGTGCTTGGCTCCTTCCCCAAGATCTAAACAAGACTGCCAAAAACGAGATAATTGAGAGAAATGCTAATTAACCTGTTGAGCCAGGTGCTGAGTATTCATCAGAGACGGTGAAAGGCATAAAATAGAAAGTTCAGGACTATTTTAAGGATGCATGAGCTGTCTAAATCCAGGTGAGGATAGTGAGAAAGAAGCAGATTTAAAATTTTCTATTCAGATCCAGGCCTTGAATTGCAGGCAGAAATGAATTTGTTGTTATTCAGCTGTTATTAAAAACGGCTTTATGGGAGGGAGGCACCTCTCTCATGGAAGTTTCTAAATAAATAAATTATTTCATTAATCTGAAATATGATCAGCAATCTGAAGTTTTTAGGGGGACTTTTTCAGCAAATAAAGGACTGGTTAAGTAATAGTCTCAAGCATCTTTAGTATCTTCTTGTGGGGTGCCTACAGAGAGCTGAACAGTCACTTTTCACTTTCAGTGAATCAGTAAAAGAAAATAATCAATATCTGTATCTCTTCTCAAATAAAATTTTTTGTTAAGTGTAGGATATAATCAAAGGAATCACTGAGCACTGAATTTTCCTGAGACTTTAACATAGTTTACCTCCATTATGTACAAATTTAAGTAATAAAGTTAGTAGAACTGGAAAGGAGCATTTTTTCACTTTAACCATTGAACAGCATCCCAGTTACACACAGTGTCTATAAGTAAAATGAAATTGTCTGAACAAGGAAGGCAAGCAGCAAAATCTGATCAAAGCTCTGTAGAAGAATCTTCTGAGAAGGAAAATTTTTGTTTCTATCCTTTTGAAAGTGAAATGACTGCCAGGAAAAAGGCAGAAAAAGAGTGACTGATATTTCTTCACTCTCTGGTGAAAGTCTGGTTTGAATTTTTTTTGATACCTAAAAATTATTTCATGAATTCATTAAAGGAGCTCATTCATTAAAAGGTTGCAAAGTGTACTACAAAATAGATGCCAGAAAAGGTGGGCACACACACACTGCAGCACCATCAGCTGTGCCTGGCTCTTTCTCACCTTCCCTCACTGTGGGCAGTGGTGCTGGAGTCGATGGCTCAGTGCTGCCTGTGGCTGGGGCAGATGTGCTCAAATTTTCTGCTTCTGTGACGGAATAGTCTGTTGAAGCTTTGAGGGGAACAAAAAGCAGGAGGAACAATGAACAGAATTGCCCGACGTGAACAGCAACCAGAATTAAATTTTGATTAAACCGTTTGGGTTTGTAATGTTGCTAGAAAAGCGTGAAGTCTTTATCACCACATAACACCACAATAAATAAATAAATATTTATTAGTTGGATTGTTAAGCTTCTTATCTACTGGAGAATGAAGCAATATTTGTTTGTAGCCCTCCTTATTAAACTTCTTTGCATAATTTTGGCATACAGTCTGGCTGTCCCTCAGCTCACTTAGGCTCCAAATTGAATTTGCCACTCAAACTTTGCCTATGTAAGCTGTGCTTAGAATTCCTGGGGTAGTCACTGCCTCAGGCTCTTCATTCACTGAAGTGGATGCAAAGGAGGAATACAGGGTTTTGAAGTGACCTTACTTGAGAAAAACTTCAATCAGTGATAGAAAATGGAGCTGATGATTGCTGATATGCTTTTGATCATGTCCTTAAAAGAAAAGAGACAGATTGTAGCCTCTAAAATTTGGTCATTTGAGTCAAGACACTCAGGTGAGGTCATATTTTGTTAAAATTGAATTTAAGCTGAACTTTTCTTCACTGAGCTAGCAGTTGACTGATCCTGAGGTTTGTTCATTTACTTTTATCCTATCAATGCAATCTATTTTGAACAAACTTAAGCATTATTATTCGATTTTATGGCATTGTGTCTGTACCTTACCTTCGGCCAGCGTGGAAAGGATTTCTGCAGCTGGGGTTGTCACATCTACAAACTCAGCAGGTGACAAGTCTTGTTCTGAAATATTTCCAGAGTCTGTGAGAAAAAGGAGGAAACACAGAAATGAGAGGGAAAGAGCACTCAGGTAAGGCTGAATTGATGAACTTAAATGCCTTCAGATTCCATGGTGTGGATTCCAAATCCCCATCCAGCTCCCCTGACAGCAGGGCAGTGGCAGGGTGGCCAAATTCGTAGACAAACATGAGCTGCACTGAGAGAAGCTGATTTTGCAGCATACTTTGGGCTTCTCCACTGAAGTCCTCTCCTAACCACCTTTTTCTGACATGCTGCATGTTGTGCAAATGCCTTTATCTGTCTGTGGAATAATTGGGATTTCTGATGTCCTGCTTTCCTCTGTGGTGGTGGTGAAAGGGAGGGAGGCAGTTGGATCAGAAATTAAATGGCTGCAAGCAACAATTAAAAGCTGAAGAGTGATTTTAAGAGCTTTCAACTTGATTTAGGTATCAGGTTTAATAAAAAAACCCCACAACTGATCTATCTAGTGGGTGGTGTCCCTGCCCATGGGAGAAGGTTGGATCCGGGTGATCTTTAGGGTCCTTTCTAACCCAAACCATTCCATGATTATCACTCTGCTGAATAACTGGAGAGGATCATCCCCCAGCTGAGGGAAATGAGTGCAAATGCCTCTCTGTGATCCTTAATGTTTCCATGTTTCCAGCTTTTATGAATTTTGGACACAGAGAATTACAATGATCTGGATGGTTTTTCTTTGCAAATTTGTAAGTGTATTCTTTATAACACAGAGGTATTAATCAGTAAGTGGATATATCCCTGTGTCCTGACAGGCTGATATTTTTCAAGTGAAGATGTTGTAAGGGGATTGTTCACAAAAGAGGAACTAAGGACAACTATATTGTCTGCTATGAGTATTTACAGATTTAATTTAGCTGAAAACCCCAAATTAACAGTGTTTGTTTTAAAAAGCACATGTGAAATGGTTGTTCTTACCTTCATCAGCTACGGTTGGGATTTCAGGAGCTGATGTGCTAATTTCCTCTGTGACAGCAGTGAGTGCAGATGACACATCTGGGGCCAGTTGAGGAAATACAAAGCACAGAGAGATTGGCAGCAATTAGGAGTGAACATGTGAATGAAAGGCTTGATGAAGGTAAATAAATTTGGGCTTTGTGGGACAATAAGTCATTGCGCAACCTTTTATTTTTTATTATAAAAAAATTACTTTCACCTCATTTAATATTTATTCACAAAGGCAGTCGGTCTTTGTGTTGTTCCTGACTGCATTGTTTCACTCCTAGAGGTGCAATAATCATTTGGAAAGGTGCAAAGGAGTTGTAAGGAAGAATAAAGCAGGAGATTTGTCATGTGCTTTGGGAGTGACTTCCAGCCCATAAATGTGCCTCACCTTCCTTGAGGGTGGCCAGGGTCTCAGGAGCAGGAGATGTCTCAGTCTGTGCTGGGGTTGGGCTGGGAGCAGGGGAGGAACCTGCAGAGACATTGCAGGCATCTGTGACAACATTCACACTTTGGGTTTCATGGCAAAGAAAGTCAGATCCCTGCACTTTAATTTTTGGTCATGTGGCTCAGAACAACATCTTCCAGCAGTCACTGTGAGTGAACTTGGGAGATTTGTGTTCCTCCTGTCTGCTTTAAACAAATTACATCTGTTGCTCAAAATATCCACACATGACATTTGCAGCTTGTTTTATAGCCTTGCTTTGCCCAGCAGAAACCAGGGGTTCTGTGGTAGTTGTCACAGCTGCTACTGTGTTAAAACCCTAAGAATAAATGGTTTTGGGAAGCAGCTTTTCATTTCTGTGTCACGTACAATAAAGCATATACTCACGATTCTATGAATCTATATGGTAGAAAACTGCATTTTAACACCTGCTGTTCTGTGACTGTGTATTATGAAGAGCATAATTAACACCTAGAAATCTACTAAGAAACATTAGTAGAGTCTGTACTTTAAGGTTTCCAGGGTGTTATTGAAAGGAATGTCGAATTTGTCTTTACAAATGAGTTGTGGATCTGCTGGTAGATAAGACTAACACTGAAAGATAAAAGAAACAATGGGATGGATTTCACTGATTGATGAATGGAAAAAAATATTTGCCTTTACAAACAAACTGTAGGGCTGGTGATAAATGAAATTGGATATCGAAAGAAGCAACGAGGGAAAACTATGAATTCTATAAGAATTAAAAATTAAAAGGGAGAGTTATACATTAGAAGGGAATCTTAGGTGCTCTGGGAAGTCTGGACCTCTCAAGTACCTCAGCCAATGGGGAAAGAGAGAGGGAAATGCGGCCGGGAAAATAGGATAAAAAGGAGGCTGCATCCTCCAAAAATTTGAGAGATCCCAGGGGAATGTCCCATGGCCTCTTCCTTTATTCGAATAAAGCAAAGAGGACTCCTCTGTCTCCTTTTTGGACATAAACCTCTGGTGTTTGTGGATTAATTTTCCTGACATTATGATTATTTCAGCAAAAAAAAAAATGGAATCAGAAACTTAGACCTGGACTGTAAAGACTTGCCTCATGTTTTCACTAATTATTAGTAGGTATGTGGCAAATACAGTTTGTATTAGCAATGCAAAGAAATAATGAAAATATAAAGAAATAATGTTGCAGTGGATGAGCAAATAGTAATTTGGAGCAATAACTTTCAATTCAGAGTATGTGCCTTTGCAGAAAACTGTCTGCCAAGGAGCTGCAATCACACGATTTTTTGAGTTAAAAATTAGACTCTGAGCATTGGGGAGACTGTAAAGAGCTCATGCACTGGGGAGACTTTAAAGAGCTAATTTTGGGACTCCTGTCCAAAGCGCTCAGCCTTACCTGTTGGTGCAGCTGTGGAGTGCATTGCATCTGTGAGCAGCAAAAAAAGCAAAAGTTTGCTTTATTTGGCAGTTATTTTTATTATATATTTATTGTAAGAATTATTCTAGTTTCCTCTCACACATGCCTGATTCACAACTGGATGGGCCTCTACTTTCTCTTTACTCTTTGTCTTTCTTGTCTCGGGGGTTGGCTGTAATCAGATGTTGACTAAAGTGGTCCTGAACTACCTGCTTTTGACCATTTTCATACTCAGGGCTTGCTGTCCAATCTTGTTATTTCGTGCAGGACACCCTTTTGCTCCTCCATCACTCAGACTTAAACATAAAAAAGCCCCACCAAGTCCAATTTTCAGCCCTGCCAGTTTCCAAGTTCTACCCTGATTTTTCTTGCATTTATGGTGAACAAGAGTACAATTTTTCCTCTTATCATTTTAATTTTTACCTGAGCAGATGACACCAACATCCTCATTGAGTCCACAGTTGTGCTTGCCCCAGCCGGCGTGCCGGCAGTCCCAAAGGTGGGATTCAGTTCCTCTACACTGCACATCATCCAACTGGATAATTTTTCCACTGAGGCCAAAGTAAGACAGTCCCAGGACAGAGACAGCTCGGCCACAGTTAAGTTGTCTGCACACAACGTTGGCACTGTTCATATTGAAATAATCATCACAGACCGTGCCCCATTTTCCATCATGAAAAACTTCAACCCTCCCGGCACATCGGTCCTCTCCAGATTCCAGTCTCAGCTGGGGCTGTGGTGGAACTGAAGCAAAAATTGACAGGTAAATCCCAATTTGTTTACTTAAAGCTGAAATTCTGATGTCTAAATTGGAATCCCCATGGCTGTGCCGTGTACAGGACCTGGTTTACCCTGGCAGGGTAAGGCTGGCTGTGCTGCTGAGGCACAGCTCAGCCACAGCTGGCTCAGGGGATTCTGCACATCTGCCAGGTATGTTCACACCCAGGAGCACGTCTCTTACCTTTGGGCTGAAATTTGTCCTTAATCCATTCGGTAAATTTGTTCCATAGTGAGTTTGGGTCTCTGTCTGGCTTGTTCCACCAGGCTCCACTTGCTGTGGCAGAGAAGGAAACACATTAGCCCTGAAGTAATACATCATACTCTTCTTTTGGAAATAATTCAATACAGACAGCCCTTAATCTACATTCTGTGAAATCACCTTTTTTAAGGGATTGTCAAGGCTTTTTTCATGGTGCCTATGGTGATAAATAAACCTCAAATTATCTCATTTAAACTAGTAAGATTATACGTTTGAAGGAACATGTCATGCAGAGTGTATTTCCACCTGGGTCTGGCAGACTGCTCCGTGTGTCTTTCCCCCTCTTTCTCTACATTTAAAAATGTACAGTATAGAATAATTTTAATTAAAACTAGAATATTAGGAGAAGACATTCAGAAAACAGCTTCCATAAGCTATTTCCCTCATGAAAAAAAAAAACAAAGGAATATTCTTCAGCCTTTTCCAGTCTGTAAACTTCATAGGTTATATTTTGAAATATAGCTTCTTAATATTACATTGCATATATTATATGTGTTGTAGCATGTATTTTGAAATACATGTATTTTGAAATACAACCTATGGATTTGGACTGAATCTTTGAAGTAGAAAGACAAACCGTCAGTTCTACAGTGCAAAACTGATCAGCAATATTTGAGAAGAATCTTTGCCACCACTTCCCAGCAAGCCAGCCTGTATTAGTAAATAATTCTACACTCTAACACTTCCCTGCGAGCATGAAAAAGTTTGCAAGGCAGTACCTGGTTCAGCCAGGAGAGTGGTGCTCAGCAGAAGCAGCCAGGTGAGACGCACGTGGAGGTCCATGGCTGTTGGGGGTGGTGATCTGTTCTAGCCCAGCTGCAGAATTTATACCAAATGGGCTCTGGTCTGCATCAAAGGCAGGTGCTGTGCAACCTGATCCCTCCTCCTGCACTTCCAGACCGATGCCAAGGAAGTGATTTAGGGAGGATTTTCCTTGCACGGGGTACATCCACACATCCGGATGAGGAGATCCAGCTCAGGGAGCTGCTCCGGACTGGACACCGAGTTCTTCCCAAACACTCCCTGGGCACCTTTGTGGCCCTGTGTTGATGGTGTGGCTGTTCCAGGAAGCTCTGATTTACTTTTGGAGATTAGGCTGTTTGGTAAGGATTCTCATGCCACCCCATGAAGACAGTTTCCAATTTACAACCATATTAACCAGATTAAATTGGTGTGAGGATTGTGCCAAAAGATTAGCATCCTAGAAATGTCAGGCAAGCCTCAAACAATTTCTCTTTGTTTGCCAAAATTACTCCTGTAACAAGCAGGTTTTTTTATTTTCCTGACTTCTCTTTAACCTGGGAAAGGATCCCTGCAGATTGTTTCAGATCTGCAGTTCTCTCTGTCTGACTTGCAGCCTCCAGAGCAATAAAAGAGTTTCCAGTCTTCTCCTTGGCATGAGGTGATGGTGTCACCACGGCCTCTGATATCCTAAAGGATGCCTCCAGCTCTGCCTCATTTTGTCCTGTCAGGGAGAGGGGACTCAGCCTGAGAGAGTAAAAAAAATAAAGCTGTATTTTCTTAGCTAAATTAAAAAATAAACATAAATGCTTTCTTTTTGTGAATGCTTTTCTTATTTTCATTGCACAGTGCAGCTCTATTTGGAGCCCTGATATAGGGATAGAAGGTGACATGGAAGGAACATGGCTGAATGCAACAATCTTTAGTTATTTAGAAGCATAAAGATTTGCTTTTTCAGCATTCCTCTCTCCTTTACAAAACAAGGAAGCCATGCAGATGGTAAATCCTGTGTGCAGCAGGAATGACAGCAGAGCTGACCTTTGTGGTCTTGGAAGAACAAAGCCATTCCCCAGAGCATCTTCTTAAAAAAATCTATCAAAACCTGCTCCTAGGAAACAAACAGGTTTTGCAGTGAAATAGCTTTGGGCTGGAGGTTCAGCGTTAATATTTCTTCACACAGTGAAGTTTTGCTGCACTGGCAGATCTCCCCCTCCCTGGAAATAACTTTATTTAATTATTTGTTATTATTTTTGTTATAGTTATTGTTATTAGTTTTTAGTTAGTTATTTCATATTTAGTGTTTATTTATTTTATACAGTGTTTATTATTTAGCTATTTTATTTCGTTTATAATTTCTGTAAGTGTCTGGGCTTAAAGGGGCTAAAAGTAGAGGGAAAATGTGGAATTCTTCTGGTGGCTGCTGCCACTGGAGGGCAGCGGGGCCCCGTCCTTGGGAATCGAGCACGGGGCTGGGGAAAGATGCTCCAACACCACAGAGCTGCTGTGGTGCCCATAAAGACACTCCACCTGAGCAAATCCCATTAAAAGAATGCATATTTGTAAAGAATTTCACTGAAGTTTTTTCTTTATGAATAATTTAGGGCCGACAACCTTTCAGGAGAAAATGCATGTATTTATTTGTATTTCTCATTCCCTGGGGGAAAAGAAAAATCACTGATGTGTGTGAACTCACAGCTTCTTCCCATGATGTAGCAATATATTTGTTATTGCTTTCAACATGACACTGCACTCCTGAAAAGTTTTCTTATGCAGTAAATCCTGTTTTGTTTTGAACCCATTGTATTCCCAGCAATCTGGGGTGGACCATGTCCAGTGCCTTGCCACAGTGGAGGTGTTCCCAAACACCAAACTCAATTCTGTACCATTCCCTTCCCCAGTTCTGTTCTTCTCCCTGGACTCACTCCAGCCCCCTCAATGTCTTTGTTATCCCGAGGGACCCAAAGCTGACCCCAAAATCTGAGGTGTCAGCAGTGCTAGCCCAGGGGATGCTCAGTGCCCTGGTCCTGCTGGCCACACCACTGCTGGAACAAGCCAGGTTTGCTCTCTGGCAGCCTTTCCACTAAAGGCCAGTGGGTTCTGAAGTGAAAGGTGATTTTTGAGGAATGATTAGAGAAAAGGCAAATCCCAGCTGAAGTAAATCACATCATCAATAACATAACCTGCAAAGTGTTTGCCTGTATTTATGGTGAATTTATTGTAAAGTGAAAACTTTCTGTATGAAGCCACTGTCTTTGGACAAAACTGAGTATTGAGTGCTGGCCCAGCTTCCCAGTCCCAGAGGAGAATTCCCTTGGGATAAGGATGTCACATCCAGCCTCTGGAAGCCCCAGTGAGGGGAAATCTTTGTCAGAGGTGAAGGCTGTGCCAAAATCAAGGGGTGTCAGTGACCTTGGTCGCACACATGGCAGGAGAGGTCATCCCATCCTGTCACCCAGCTAAGGCTTCCTGTCAACACACCTTGCTTGTCTTGGCATCTGCTGCATTCCTGCAGCTTTTCCTGCTCTCCACTTTCCTGTGGACAATGGTTTTAATGGAGAGCTTTTCCCAGCTTCCAGCAAATCCCTTTGACCTCAGCAGTGCCATGGGCAGGGTCACACAGAGTGCCACCAGCGCTGGGGACATTCTCCAGCACACTTTGAACATTTGTCATCACAAACACGGGAGTGGCCCTGGGGTGTTGGCACCACTGTTGCCTTTAAATTTAATTTAAATTTAATTTAAATTTTGGTAGTAAAGTCAGTGCAGTGAGACACAAGAAGAGTGCAGTGTAACTCTGTAGGCTGCCAAAGTTAAAGCGATTTATTCCCAGCTGAAGAGTGGTAATGAAATTAATCATAATGAAATAAATTACCCGTGTTAGACAAATGATAGTGCGTATTTATTGGTATTTTTACAATGAAGTATTTAAATTAATAGAGCAAAATCAAGGATGAACTAACTGAGACAAGGGTGACCAAGACATGAGGTTAACGAAGCCAAAGCAACACAATGTCATCATTATTTCCTTATAACTGCATTTCCTTTTTCTCCTTCCATTTTAATATTGCTTAAGGGCCTTTGAGTTTCATTAGGGAGTGCAAAAATTCTCTTAGGGTTTTTTTTTTTTTGTGAGGTAAATCCAGATAATAGATAATATTAAAAATGCTGTTTTATGCAACACCTTTCCTTTTTTAAGACTTGGAACTTTTAACAATCTGATGCAGTAAAGAGGTTTTTCACATACAAAAGGTCACATCCTTCCAGTCCTGCAGCAAATCAGATTTATATATAAGTTTCATATATTAAATCTCCTTAAATATTAAAAATCTATGGCTAGCCTCATGAAAACTCGTGTAAATCAGAATTTTTGCTTTCATTGTGGTCAAAATACACTATATTTTAAGTTTTTCCTCATGCATAAGCTACTGAAGAAACTAAATAAGGAGAAAATCAATAATAATTTAAAGAGAAAGTTTTTTATGGTAGGGAATTTTTTTTCAAGGTAGAGATGGTTGAATAAATATGGAATTGAAAATTCCAGGTATCTCAGTTCTCATAGAAGCTGTCAGAGGAGGAAATAGACAAAATACACATGTAAGCAATTGCAGTTTCTTTAAAATTAACTGTATTTTTAGAAGGTGTTCTTCACCCAGAGGGTGGTTGGACACTGGAACAGCACCAAACCTACCAGAGGTCAAGAAGTGCCTGGATAAATTATAAGTCAGGTGGTTTAATTGTAGGTAGTCCTGTGAAGAGCAGGGAGCTGGACTCAAACATCATGGATTGTTTCCAAATCAAGATATTCTATGATTCTATGATAACACTTCACCTTTTTTGTAAAACCTGTTTTGTTTCACCAGGTGTCCAACAACTGGATAATTAATTATGAGCTGACTGTCCTTGCTAACAACTTGAAAAATCAGCGCAGAACAAGACTTTGAACCTTTTTTACCATAAGGCAGACATTAAAAAAAGTTGTCAAGGTTAAATTTGGGTAAGGACCAAGAAGGGCCAGGAGGTCATGGCCCATCCTTCAGAGGGATCTGGCACAGCTCTGGCTCCTTTCTCTTGCTTTCTGTCCCTAAGCTGCAAAGGAGTCATGACTCTAAATCTTTGCATTTGGTTTATCCTGGTTATCTCACTCAAATAAATGATCCTCAGGTGTTCAATAAAAGCTTTGTCAAGGCAAGATGTGTGGGATTAGGACCAGAAGTTCAGGAAAAGTTTCCTGTGTTAAAGTTTGTTGGTTCTGTGAGGGCAGAATGTACCTGGGGGTTGATTTCGCTGCTCCTCCCAAGCCTTGGTAATGTGCAAATAGAGTTGGTTAAAAGAGGTTACAGGTGCCTAAAAAAGTGTAATAGTAATATAACAGTGCGGACTCTGAGTGACACTGCTTAAAATGCTCTGAAAGATTTTGGATCTTAGTTGGATGGAAGTTTGCCATGTCAAATATGGATTAAAAATATGAAAAAGGAGGGAAACACTGCATAGGACAGAGATTTGGTGACACTGTGGGTATTAAGAGAGGCATAATGCTGTTGAGAAATGTGTTTTATAGTTCAGGGGAGCACTTTTCAATTTGATAAAATTAAAAATTCACTGTGGCTCCTTTTGAGCAAGCAAAGGTATTTCACAAGCAAATGGCACTGGCATCACAGTGACTGTCACACTTCTCTCCATACCACGCCTTGTGAGAACACTCCCACAGGGATTTCTCATTCCTCCTGCACTGCACAACATCCATCACAATTTTTCTTGGGCTGTGAGCAGAAGTCACATCTCCTGAAGGTGATGCAGCATGTCCACAAACCTGCTGGTTGCAGACAGCTGCTGTATCACTTTTATCCCAGAAAACATCACAAACGTTCCCCCAGGCTCTTTTGCAAAATATTTCAGCCTGCCCTTAGCACTGGTCCCACCCATTCACCACCCTCACTGACATTTATTTGAAAGATAAAAAAGAATTTCCCTGAACCTGGCCATTTAATGGAAAGACAGAATCTGAGAATTATGCAAGTTGGTTTATGCTGCTGGAAGCAGGTTGTTCTGAGTTGTGTCTGTAAGAGCATTGAATACCTCCAGTGTTTTGCTCTGTACAAATTCAGTTCTGAAACATCAGAGCATGATATTAAATGCAATTTCACAAATGTAAGAAGTTTGCCTCTTCCTTCAGATCCTGTTCCAGCTGTGAATGAAACAATCAGTCACTTCTAGGTGGAGTTTGAGTCACTGCAGTAATAACTACATCTAGCAAGGAAATGGGGTATTGCACATGGTGCTGAAGATATCCTTGAAACAATAAGAAGCAGATTAATAAACCTCGTTTCAGGACTGTTACACAGGTCTACAACAGAAGTCAGACCAGTCTTGAAATGCATTTATTTATGACTATAGGGAAAAATATGAATTTTTAAAGTGTTAGTAACAGAAAGGTTGCATAAATTAAACAATGTGATCACTAAAATGAAAATCCAAGGCAAATCAAAGTAAAACAAAAATATTTGATTTGACAGAGTTTGATACTACAGAGGGAATGTTGCTGGAAGGCAAGAAACTGAAAGAACAGCAATAGCCAATGCAATTTCATGGAGTAGAGATACTTTTAACTTCTAAAACATTCTAGTGAATTTTTCTGCAGGAGTTCCTTGCTAATAGCTTCATTTTTTGAGTACCTTAATAATTGAAGCCCTTCTCTTCTGTGGGACCGGTGGTGAACCCCTCCCCTTGGGTGTCCCATGGTGGCCACTGGCCCAAGAGGAGCCAGGGAGAAAACCTTACCAGGGCAAAGGACTGCCTTCTCTGCAGGAAACAAAATGCTATTTTTTTCCCAAAATGCAATGGCAGGAACCCCTCAAGGCTGTCCAAATTCTAGCCTGGTGTTTCAAACAGTTAATTTCCAGCTTGATTTTTGTCTCCCCAGCTGTGACACTGCTGCCTTGGGGCAGCACCTCATGTGACACCCGGATGAATCCTTGCAGTGCTGGCAGGGAGCAGCCCTCTTGTCTTCCCCAACAATGCATTCCTTAGCAAAATCCAGTGAACTTGTGAAACAAAGAGGGTTTGTCTCACGCTGGCAAGGCTCGGATCAAGTGTTTGCTCTGTGTGCTCGGAGTGTTGCTCCCAAACCAGCGCTGCCCACGCTGCCCAGGACATGGAAGGGAAATGGAAGCAGCAGGTTCTGGCCACCCTTCTGCAGCTGGGGATGACCTTTGGATTTCTGAGCCTGAATTAGGGATATCAAGATCCAGCATTAGGGACAGAAGGCCTGGCTTTGCCAAACAGAACAGAGATTCTAGTGCAATCCTGTCAAAAAAGCTTGGTTGTGACTTGGTGAGTCTGATGGAGTTAACTGAGAAAATAAAATTATCAGTTGAGTGAAATGATCTCCAGAGTACATTCCTTTAGTTATATAATTGGAATTTGGTGCAAGCAGTGGGGCTTGGGCATTAAAGGACCCCTAAGCCAGAGCTGGGAGCAGAAGGTTGTGCTCAGCTGCTGGATTCAGCTTGGTGTCAATGGAAATCTGTGGGATTCCATGGGAAAGCATAGGGAGAAAGTAATGAAAACAAGGAAATTGGTGTTTCTTACCCATACCCTGCAAACCCTAATTAGCTTTTTGAAATCTCAATCTACACGAGGATTTGTTATTAACAACTGGAAAATTAATCTACTTGCTGGCTATCAGATGCAGAAACTAAACAATGTTTATTTACACTCAGTTATAAATATTTTTGTGGTGTGTTCCTGGGAAGGAGGACTACAGAGTTGAATTATCTGCTTCATACTCCAAAATTAGAATAGAAGGATAAACAAGACAGGAAATCCAGAATACAGACAAGCAAACAAGGACTTTGTTTCTGAGCTTTGCTTCAATCCCAGCTCTGGCCAAATAAGTGACTTGATAGCCACTGGGAGCTGCATGAAGTCAGGAACCTATAGACCCCATGGAATAATTTACTAAAACATATATATGTATTTTAAATCAAATTGATTTTGATCCCTTCTCTTCCCATTAAAGAAACCTGCAGGAGAATTTCTCAGGGATGTAGAGTTTTGTCAGAATTCTGAGTACTTTCAGCTGTTTGCTGGTGGGATGGGGAAGAGAATTGGGGAAAAATAAGAAAAAAACCCAAACAAAATAAAATAAAATAAAATAAAATAAAATAAAATAAAATAAAATAAAATAAAATGTCTTGAGCCCCCCCAGCCTCCTCACTGGCACAACAGCACAAGGAGCTGATAAATCCTTGACTGAGTGTGAGAGTTGCTCAGAACCATCAGTGTGTTCTCAACATTGTTCTCATCCTAAATCCAAACAGGAATCCTACCAGTGCTAGGAAGAAAATTACCTGCCCCAGCCAGAACCAGTGCAGGGTGTAATTCAAGGGATTTTCTCATGGTGCTGCAAACAAAATATTAATTATTGGTGCTGAGATGGTCAGTTGAGTGCATATTACTGAGTGAACAAGCACATGCTACATGGCTGAGCCGTGACAGACACACCAGGAGGAAATGAAATAATCCAAAACCAAAGTCAGGCAGTTATTCAAAGGAAAACTCTGCCAAGGGATGGTTGGTGTGTCTTGTCTGCGGGCAGAGGAGGTGACAAAAATAAGCAGCCCCCAGAAATCTAATTTACAAAGAGTAAAGGAAGTGTCCTTCATGTGCTCCTGGTTCTCCTTGTGTTTGCAAGCACCAGCCTTCACTGTGAGATTGGTAGAATACTGGATCCCCTACAAACCAAACAAAAACCCAAAACAAAAGGCCAAATAAACAATTTTAGCTTACATTTTGGCTTTAATTCTTTGTATTTTTAAAACTAAGACATGAAAGGCAAAAAATCACAGGTCTTGCTTTTCATGTTTTCATGCACCAGTGATAAATGTTTATGTGGCATTTGGCTGTTTGCATTTCCAGCATATTTCAGTCTGGTTTATGAATGTGCACAAGACATTCTGAAAGTCTGGGTAAGTCCTGAGAAACCAAACTCCTCACAACCACAAAGCACACAACCATGAAGGGGAAAAAAATTAAATAGCTTTGTGAACAGCAATCAAAAGTAATAAAAATTGAACAAAACTCTGCCTTCTGGAAAGCAGATATGAAATGTCTTTCATCTCTTGACTGACATTTGGGTGAGAACTGAAAAGCCTCCTGGCTGAGGTTCAATCTCTTGGATGATATTTGTATTTTTGCCTGGTTTAGGATGTATGTTAATGGGATTGATGTAACAAGCTCTTAGAAGAGATTGAGCATTTCAGCCTTAAAGATTGCAAACAAGACATCTTTAACAGATCAGCACATTTTGAATTTGGATTTAGTCAATCTAGAGAAGTTAAATCTTAATGGAAAAATATTAATCAATGCTTAAAATAATTAGAATATTGTATAGCTACAAATTCAGTTGCTGTGGTAAGATCAGTTTTTACACTTCCTTTCCAGAGATGATCTATTCTTACCAAATTAAATCTTCCTTCTTTTCAGTAAACCTTGAAATATTTTTGATGCCTCATTCACATTTTCACTCCAGCTCACAACATTTTGAGGCATTAGATAAATGGTTTTAGAATGGTGTGAGAAGAGAATTAAAGAGGAGAAAAAAGATAAAATAATTGTGCCAAACAACTTGTGGCATGAAAGTTGAAATTATTTCTTAATTCTTTAAGATTACAAAGCTATTCTAAGGCATTGTAGCAGAATTTATTGTAGATAAAGACACAGCTTCCCACAAATGTGAGACTGTCATCAGTGAAGCATTTTGGTGGCTCATAATATATAAGGTTTGCCCTGCATTCATCCAGTGAGTGATGCTGACCTTTGCTCTGACATTATCCCATGAGAAAGCAGCTTCTTCAGTGCCAGTCTTGCAGGAAAACCATCAAAAAGAGAAACAAAACTGCCAGGAGGGTGACAGCACCAATCACCAGTGTGAGGGAATTTTCAGCAGCAAGGGGAAGATATGTAAATATTTATATTGAGATAAATTCTATATAAAGATATAGCAGTGTTTCAGAAGCAGGGGCTCAGACCATCACTTGGAATTTTTAATCAAGCAGACCACACTCTGCAACACAGTAAAACATTTGTATTTTAAGCACAGAGACATTAATTTGAGAGACAAAATAGATTTACTGGTTTGTAAACATCCCTTCCTTTGATTATAAATTCTGCTCACAGAACAGATTAATTTTAGTTTTGGAAATCTCTGCATTTTATAAATACCCATCATTGTTTCAAGGAGAAATATAGCATGAAAAGCAATACTCAAAATAATTAGAATATTGTACAGCTGCAATTCTGGTTGCTGGAAGAGCCCAGCCCTATGAGTGAAAGTAATTGAGGTTTGATCTCAGCATTTAAAAGACCAAAGCACAAAGAGCTCCAGTGTTAAATTGATGGTTCCTAGATCAAAGTCAGAAATAAACAAACTCACAGATTCATTGCTTTCAACTATTTGGACAGGCTTCATATTAGCAGGGATGACAACTCAACAAAGTGAACTTCATTAGCAGAAAACAACTGAGGGAATGAAGTGTTTCTAAAGGAAGTTGGGGATTTGCTCCCAGCTGGCTGTCATGGAATAGTGGGATCATTTAGGTTAGAAGAGACCTTTAAGGTTATCGAGTCCTATCATTAAACTAGCACAGATAAGTCCACCAATAAACCATATCCTCAAGTGCCATCAAATTCACAATCAGACTGGAGCTAATTGGCACAATTCAAGGAGGTATAGCACTAAAATGGATTACAGGCAACTCTCCTTTGGGAAACCAGAACAGTTACACTATTTAAAAACAGAGGTGAAAGCAGAAGCTTGCAAGGCACCAATCCCTTCCTTTTAATGGCAAAGTTGGCAAAAGCAGATTTCAGCGACAGAGCTGTGGCTTTTCTTGAAGCCTGTTGGCCATCCTAGAGCAAATGTGAGAGAAATTTATTCTGCTTTCCCCACGATTCTACTCGGAGCATCCCCTCCTCGGAGCTGAAGGGGTCCAACCACCACATCCACTTCTTCCTCAGCAGAGCTGGTGTCTCTCTTGGCCCTGGAGCTGCAGCCCCGGTAGCAGTGGGAGGAGTAGTCCCCGAGCCTGCAGACCAGCATCTGGCACTTCAGGTACACTGACGGGTGCCTGCTCATGAACTCAAAGGCGTTAAATTTGAACCGAGCAAAGTGGCTGGCAGGGGACTGATATGTGACATAGGAAGAATCTCTAGGACACCTAGAAAGGAGAGAAAAGGGGAATTACACATGCACATGCACACATGCTCATTCCTGCAAAATTAAAATTCAAATTATTTGATTTATTACTATAAATTCCTGCAAAATTCAGATTAAAACTGAATTATGTCATAGTTGGGTACTAGGAAAGCAGTGGGATAAAAATGCAACTTTCATTCCATAATATGGACTTTTAAAGTACTATGAAGCAGCTGGAATATTGACAACTCCTTTTTCCAAGAGTAGGATGCTTTAAGTGGTGAAGAGGGAACAACAAACTGTTAGTAATGTCAGTGTTATACAAGGCATAAAAAATTAGTCAAATGCTTGACCTGGTTTTACCAAAATATTTAACCCCTAGGATGGCAATTCCTACTGCCAGTTTTCACTGTCTCATCTCCCATTACTTTGAGTTTTGTTCACAGGACAAAGATGGAGTAAGCAAAATGAAATGATTGTAAGGTCTAAATATAATTCCTTATTTCCAGGCTCATACTGTAAAAATTAAAAAAAAAACAAAGACCATTTTTTACAGTCTGTTGATAGTGAGTTCTAAGCCCATCAAGATTGGCTCTATTATTTAAAATAAACGTGGGTGATGGGTGTACTTCTGACAACTTGAAGAAAGCTCTTACCCATTCCTGACTAAGTAATAGGCCAGCGTGTTAAAATCATGAGGGTCGGGTGATGCCACACACGTGTCCACAACCACCTTGAGGTTTGGGTCTGAGCTGTGAAGACAAGCCTGGAGGTACAGGTTTTGGTTGAGGTCGATGTAGTAGGGAGAGCTGCGCACTTGCCGCCGGAACGCCGGGGAATCGTAGAAGGTGATGTTCATGTTGTATCTTCCAAACTGGTACTCGTTCACATCCACAGTGTCCTCAGCAGTGTACATCACCTGCTGCCAGCTCTTCCTCAGCATCTTGCAGCTGACGTGCAAGTTGATGTTCTTTTTCCTCTTGATTACATACCCAGAAGATGCGACCCTGATCGTGTTGGAGTAGTTGATTGTGTCGTTGTTCTCCTGTTTAACAACATAACCTAAAATCGGGAATTGCTCTTCTGGCACGTCCTATCTCGGTTCTAAGTTTTGCTAAGCTAAGGTATGCAACTGAGTGCCCAAAATGGGGAGTGTACCTCTTGTACTGTCCCACAGCCGTTGTAGGGAATGTTGAATACAACCTCCCGTGGCGTGACTGTCGCTCTGCAGCGGTTGTCGTTCAGGGTGACCCTCTGTGCTGAGTAGCCCTGAGACTGCAGGTAGCGTCTGCTGACCACTACGTGCATGTAGTCTGGCAAGCACTGGATAGCTGGCAGAAGAGGAAGGTACAATATATTTGTGACTTCAGGAATTTGGTAATGATTTGAGGCAGCTTTTTTCTTAATTTAAAAGTCAGGCAGTTCTCACCCCAACTCGCTGTATTTCATGCACGTTTCCACAAATATCTTTAAATTTACACAGGTATTTATTTTGTAAACAAAAGCAATAAATGGGCCTAATAAGCAATAAATAGGTCTGTTGAGAAACACTGGTCAGGAACTTACTGGTGTTGTGACCAGCTGGAATGGAGGAGTAGAGAGCCTGAAATCCTCTGAAGGAGTATCTGGAATCGCTGTGGAAGCGAACACTCATCATGTTTGAAGAGGACACGTATGTGGGGAAGGAACCAGAACAGAATCTCCCAAGAAGAGGGGAAGAGTGGAGAGGTCCATCATAGACTTCAATGTAGTCGTGCTGGCATGTCCCGCTTTGCATCCTGGTAGAAAAACATCAACATCTTGTCAAATCCATTTCAGAAACTCTGATTTCACTGCCTAACATGTGATAAAGTCTTTCAGCATTTCAAATTTTCTCAGCACAAATTTAATTCGGCTTTTATGCAGCTTTAGCAGAAAATGGCAAATAAAAATAAAAAATGCAACAGCAATCCAGATTTTGATCTGGTCTTCCAACCATGGATGTTATTGGAAATATATTTAAAATTAGGAAGGTTGCCTCTTTCAGATAAGATTTTAAACTTCTCAATAAATTTTGACTTTGATATTAGACCAGGAAATCAATGTTTTACTTACGCAATATCTCTAAATGTGAGCGTTACACGGAAATTGTTCTTTACTTGTATTTCCCACACACAGTCAGCGTTGTTTGGATAACTTCCAGGATAGTTGGGACTCTGCAGCACCCCAGAGGAATCTGAGACTGAGCCACCACAAAAATAAGGTGCTGCAGAAAGAAATGGGAAAGAATTTACTTACAGTGACCTCTGTAAAAGTGTGCTTGAGCTTTACGTGCCTCATCCACAGCTACAGAAAAGAAGGTTCCCTGCTGACTGCAGGTCTATAGGAGCTGAATCAAAACTAATATTTGTTTTTGCTTTAGGTTTACTTTCTTGTTGGATTTGGAATTCCCTCAGCAGTGGATTTCCATCCATGGTGTCAGACTACCCTCTTCAGGCTGGGCTGGTAATACCTGGATACTTTCTGTCCCTTTTTAGAGTTGAAGTCAATTCTAGGAGGTGTCATGACTGTTGAAATGGAAGTGCCTTCCTCAACAGACAGCTTCTCATCAGTTACTCTGCTGCTTCTCTTTATTCCCCTAAGGTCTTTGGAGGGTAAATAAGTTTCAAGTTTTCTAGAAAACTGTAATTTTTGGGTCTCAGACTGAAATAAGTAATTCAGCTGCTGAGAAAAGCCTTAAGTACAAACATAGCTGCAAAAAGCTTTAGTGTTCCTGACAGCATAAATAACATAATTCTTGTTAAACACAGGTAATCTTAAAAATGTCTTTGTAGGAAGGTGAGCACAAGCTCTGAACGTAAATCCTATAAGATGTGACATTTAAAGATGAAAATCCATTTTATATTCTGCATGAAAAAGATCATTCACACTTGCAGCAATATTGTCATAGAGACAAAAGACAAATTTACAGAAATGTACAACAGGGAGACAGACCACAAATTAGCAAGGTGAGAAGTAGCACAGAAGAGCATTACCTGGAGGAGGTGTTGAGGTGGCCACTGGAGCTGTGGATGTGAAGGAAGGAGAGACACAGGTGAGAAGGGCAGGTCATGAGAAAGGGATTGGTGCCTGGACATGGCCGTGCCTTGAGGCACCGAGTGTTAAAATGGGAACCACAGGGAGGCAGGGAAGTGTAAATAGGAGGCCAGGCACAAAGGGCCATGAGCTCCATAGGAGACTCAATTGCCCCCACTGACAATGATCATATTCTCATTTTTACAGCTCATATCCCAAAACCCAGCATATGCCTATGAAACAGCTCTAGTACCACCCATGCAGGAATAGAAGGGGTGAAGGCAGAATGATCCCTGGGCATGTTGATCTGGGTTGCAGAGAGAGGCAATCCCTCTGCAAAGAATTTCATTAAACCAGCAATGGCTGCAGAGCTCCTGGACTCAAACCACAGCTGCCCCACTTGCCAGCTCTGCCCATGCTGTGTTTGCATCCTCACTTTACTTTGTGATAGCCTAAATGGAGAGGCCCAGCAGGGCTGGGAGACTCCCTGCAGTGCAATCCGCTTTGACAAGGGAGGTCAGAAGCAGCAGGGAAAGCAGTGGGTGAAAGTGGACAGGGTTACCTGGTGTGCTGCTCTCTGCTGTGGTAGCCGTTGTCATTGTGGTGGTCAGCAGTGCAGGGCTGGACACCTTGGTTGTGGCAGGGTTTGGTTCTGTGGTGTTCATCTCTGGTGGGCTGGATGCCTCTGTTGGGGAGGTGATGAGTTCATTGACAATGGCCATGAAGAGAAGAGTTGGCGGCCAAATGCCAGGAGAGAGGGTGAAGTTCTTTCCTTCCTTTCCTCCATCCTGGCAGTGGCCTGACCTGTCCCCAGTCCTGCCAAATCCTCCATAAAGAACAATCCCTCAATGCAGAGCTTTGCCCTATCAGTGGATGGCAACAGTGAGAATTGTGGAGAGTCTGCTGTTCCATGTCTGTGCAAGAATGGGGTTTTTGCATGACTTGAGCCTCACCACTGCCCTGGCAATCCCAGAACCCTGTTAGAATGAAATGTAAAGGGTTTGTGTTCTGTGCTGGCCACCCACCTGCACAGATGACACTGGCATCCTCACTGTGCCTGCAGTTGTGCATGCCCCAGCCGTTGTGCCGGCACATGCGCAGGGAGGGCTCGTCCCCGCGGCACTGCACGTCGTCCAGGAAGATGTGGCCGGAGCCCAGGCCAAAGCGAGCATTTTGTGGAGCAGCCACGGCCTGGCCACAGCCCAGCTGCCTGCACACCACCTGGGCATCCTGCAGGTCCCACTGGTCGTCACACACCGTCCCCCACGTGCTGCCGTCGTACAGCTCCACGCGGCCCTCGCAGCCGTTCCTGCCGCCCCGCAGCCGCACGCTGGCCCCTGGCACATGGCACAAGGCACAAGGACGAGCTCACACCAGTGTCCACATGGGACACTGCAACAGGGAGCTTGCAAGTCCAGGCATAGGGCTGGGAGGCTGGAATTACCTGTGGAATATGGCCCGGATGTGCTGGGTGCTGGAGCTGTGGATGCCAGGAAGAATTTGGTGTCAGTAACAATGGTTCCAAACAAAGTCAGCACAATGTCATGCAGATGAGAATAACACATTTCCTAGGAGCCCCTGGCCTATGATTCCTACAGCATCCTGGAGAGTTCTTTCACTCATTTGAAATGACTGACTTGACTTTGTTGTTTCATACAGGACCTCTGTGTACATAGAGATGTCTCCCAAATTTCAAATTATTTAGGGCAGCAGATTTCTTTACTCTACTCACCACCCCAGTGCCACAACGTGTCTGGGAAATAGTTCTGGTACTACCCATGCACGCCTTGAGGCACTTAAGGCAGAAAGAACTTGTTGCTCCTGGTTGCAGTGAGAGACAATCCCTCTGCAAAGAGTTTCATTAAACCAGCAATGGCTGCAGAGCTCCTGGACTCAAA